AGGTGCTGGTGACAAGCGCTTGCATGGGCCCAAGCTAGTCAATTGAATTCTCAGCTTCCCTTTGCATGGTATTGCTGGAATGTGTTTTGGTGCATTCTGAATTTGTTTTCCTGAGCATGGTAAATTCAATATGGGGCCTCAACACTACTTGCACTTGAGACAAGGTGTCAAGACCGGGACCTTTTCATGAGGGCCTGTTTCGGTTGGGCACAAGCAATCAAAAACAATGATATAAAGTACTACAGTACTTTAAACATGCTTTGACAACTTGGAATGTTTTGAATAGGATGTTAGCAAATGTGCATGTATATATATATGTAGTAGAGAGAGAGAGACGTATTTTTTTATTACAGTAATATATATAATATATATTCTACATACGGTGCAATCAATTTGTGATAGCTTTTTGTCACTTGTTGATTGCTGGGACATCATTGGGACATCACGTGTTGCGTTGCGTTAGGCTGGCAACTGCTGCCGAGCGCATCGCTGCTGAGCCTGACAAGGCCAAGAACAACGCATAGAATGTAGACCATCGGCAGCATCTCATGAATGAACGATTTCATCGTCCAAGAATACATTGACTATTGAGCTTGGTTTTGTTTGACAAGAGAAGCATCGCGCAATTGCAGGAACTCGACCTCTTTGACATTTTCTTTCACTTGCACCGTGCATGGCCAAGCAAATTGTGACTCCGTGCTTGTTCAACAGATATATATTATATATGTGCATTATACTATATTATACATTAGTTATAACTATATCATATGATATTGCATTATGGTAGTGGTAGTTGATTGAAAGGTCGACAAAAGGCCTAGGTGCATTGAGAGCCTCTTATGTTGTTCGCGAAAGTTGTTTAGAGTTCACAAAAGTAGAGTCGAGTTTTTGTTGCAACAGATCTTGGTCTGTCAAAGATAGGTATACTGTGTAATGTGGAAAGAGCCAAACCAAGAAGACTTCTAGGCTTCTACCCCAACGGAAGTTAAACACACGAAATTTGTGAAAGTAATGTTCTTTCATTTTGAAAGAATTGTGTTTCCGTAAGAAGGGTTTTAGATCAACCACAATATATTTTGTAATTTTGTACAGTTCTAGCTGAATTCATCAGGCTCCATCAGTGCCACCCAAGACCTAGACGCAAGGTGTCGCAGACCAGGAGACCAAGTGCATGGCCATTCTTTCAGCCGTGGCCGTTTTCAAAGACTTGGTCCCAGGCGCAATTGGTATGTTTGTCAGTCTTATGTACTGTAGTATACTGTAGTTCTTTTGTGCAACTGGGAGCTGGCACGACGTTTGCAGTTTGGGTCCTTGCATTCCGATGATGGTGCCGCCCACTTTTGGCTCCAAGGGGCAGTGGGTGAGGCAAAAACCTCGAGCTGCAGACCTTTTTTAAGGCCCTCGATGTAGCGATGACTGAAACCAAAGTTGGGGCGTCCGCCGCGTCACGCAGAGACCTTTTGGTCCAACAGCTCTTGGAAGAGCGTCGCCATCGTTTGCAGCAAAAGCTATTTGCGAATGCCTCAGAGGAGCCAGTTCGGCCCAGCCCAGAGAGGTGTAGTCGGCTTGGTCGGCCTGAAATTGACCGGACTCCGGTGTGTGTAACAGAGCAGATTGAACATGTCGAGCCTCAAGATGATGGTTTTTTGACCTCGGTTCTAGCACGGTTGAGGGCTGCTGAAAAAGCAGAGCAGCATGACCAGCTCAGTTCGCAGCCAGAACAGGCTGCGCCAAGAGCGATACAACCCTTTCCTGAGGCGGAGATGCAAGTCCCCCGAGAGACGAAGCCCAAAGCATGTTCTCAACCTCCAGGCAGGGTAGGTCAAAAGAAAAGAAAGCCAACCAAGGCCAGTCAATCGAAGAGCCCAGCACCCAGGCGGCGGAGCTCATCAGAGAGGTTTGATCACAGGTTGCAGAAGTGGCAGCTGCAACATCAAGCCTCCAGAGAGAAGCAAATGCAGGCAAAGCAAGAAAAGGACATAGAAGAACTCGAAGAATGCACCTTCCAACCATCGATCAACAGCCGGTCAGAATTCTACGCAAGGCGCTCTCGTGGTTGCCTCGCGGAAGCTTTGCCGGAGCGTTTGTACCATGAGGCAGACAGGAGGGCAAATCTGCGGAACAAGGCCAAAGAGATCATGGAAGCTGATGCCTTGTGTTCCTGCACATTTCAGCCAAAGATCAACCGAAAGTCAACAGGTAGTGTTGGTCAACGTGCACCGCTACATCTGCGATTGGATACTTTGAGCAAGCAGCGAGAAGAACGCGCTCGCTCTGCCCATTTGGCTGAGGAGAAGCGTTCTGAGCACTTCTTTCAGCCTCGGATCTCATGCCGCAGCGAGCGGCTGGTGCAAAGAAAACGTGACTGGGTGATGAAGGTGATGGAGGTGATGGTTTGGAATATGTTGTACTTGTTTCTCACTTCTTGGTTTTCCATTTTTGGGGGCAGCCTTTACCCGGAATGAACACACCCTAACTTTAGACCGCTAATTATATAGTACTGTTGATGTGAGCTGAACCACCGTTCAACAAGGCGATATGTTGTACAAAAGTGCCTCCCACGGGCAAGTGGAGTGTTTAAGACAGCTTGGCCCTGTGGAAGAACGACTCTATGCGGAGGCCAAAGAGAAGGAACAAAGGCTGGCCGCACTCCAAGATGTTCATGCTGAAGAGCTCCGCTCCTTTCCAAGTGTGGATGACACTTCAAAGCAAATTTGCAAAGCGTCAGTCTACTTCCAAGGTCCGCAGCAAGACTTCCTGACTCGACAGCAAACCTTCGAGCTAGCGAAGCAGAAGCGAATGGACGTTCGTGCTCAGCATTTGGAAACTGAGTGCTCCTTTCAGCCCAGAATCACCGAAACAAGCCGTCAACTTGTTTGCAACAATGTAGAGTTGCTGGGTGAGACTCCTGAAGAGCGAATACATCGCCTAGCAGTTCGAGATGCTGAGAGGAGGGAGCAAACTCGACAAGAGCTAGAACAGCTGCATCACAAAGACTACACCTTCAAGCCAGAGATCAACCCAGTTTCTCAGGCACTGGCAGCATCACGACTGGAGGACGGTGTGGCGGCATCACCACATGAACGTTTGTACCGCTCTGCACTCTCCAAGAGCCGCCACGACTCCGGCCACTCGGACGACTCAAGCTTCCGCCCACAGCTGGATCGTCGGAGCTCCAGGCGTTTTGCACATGTGAAGTCTCGTTATGCAAGGCCAGATCTCATGGAAAGCATCCGCCAGGAGCAGGAGAAGAAGGCTGAGTATTTGTTAGAGAGGCGCCGTGAGCTCGAAGAAGAACGAAATGCCGATTGTACATTTACCCCTTCCGTGACAGAAGGCTTTCAGGACAGTCAAGTCACTGGAGTTGCCTCAAAACAATTGAACTGTGCATTGTAGATCATTGTAGCACCCACCTTTTTTTGACAGCCTTACATTTCGGTTCAGATCGACTGTCGGTTTCCACGGTCATTCAGCATCGGTTGTGGTGTGGCCCTGGACCCAGGACATTCAGAAGCCCGTGGCAGTGAGCGGCCTCGATCGTTTCTTTGAGCTCAAGAACCTGGCGCTGAAGAAACAGCAAGAGCAGCAAGAACGAGAGCAGAGGGTTTTCCGACCCGAAACGATTTCTGCACAGGGAGTGAAGGGAGTTACGGTTCCAGAGCCATTCCAGCTGTCCAGAGAGGCATGAAGGATCTTGAAGGTGGGATCCTGAAATCTTCAGTGGTGCAGAATCTTCAGCATGTGAGGGAGGTGCTTTAAGCACCAGCCAGACAAAGCCCAGAAGTGGATTTCCAGCAGATGAATTCACTTGGTTGGACGGCTTACCTCCAACCTTCCCCTGCAATTGTTCAGACAAGGGGTGCTTTCGGACAAAACAATGTAGCTAAGAAGGCCGGGTGGAGTGCTGATACAGTATGCTGAGTGAACAGCTCGATTAGGTTTGGATAGCTCTTTTGGAACTGGATCAGGGACGCCTCGTGAATTGAGGCTATCGCATCCGCGAGCCCACTGAACAAGAGAAGGCTCAAGCTCGCTCGAAGCCGGGGACCCGGATCCGATGTCTCCCACCACCAAGATCGGATGGCGGGAACACTGTAGAACCTTCAATTTCAGAATGATAATGATATCCGGGTTTTGCATATACAATTTATATATATATATATATCAATTAGGAGCCTATGAGTGAAGCCCTTTCCGGTGAATATGTTTACTTTTTGCATTTTCTTCAGCAATCCAAGAATATGCAAGCTGCAAGCTGCAATAGTGACGAGCAACGATTGGGTGAATAGGCCCATACGTTCGATGGGATATGTTTCAGCGAGGTCAGTGCTGACGCTGGAACGCTATGAGCTGAAGCTTTTGCAGACCTACAGGCTCGGTAGGGTTTGTTTGGAGATTGACCTGATACAAGTCAGCTTGCCAACTTCTGCCCCCTCCAACTCTAGTGTTTTTTTGGAATACGTGCGCGCTGTTTCATGATGGCGTGTCATTGTTTGGTATTCACACCATTTGCCTGATGAAGGCGCTTGCTGCCAGATTTGGAGGCAAGCTCATTAAACAGAATGCAGCATTCAGTAGCTACTGCTGATGACATTCCACACATCCATGTGAACCAGGTATATCAAGTATTGAAGGCAACGACCTCTGCCATTTAGCTGCTGGCATGGTGCATTTCAGCATGCATTTACTGTAATCCTTGAACCTACTCAAAGTATTGCAGCTGACAAGGTGCTACAATGACACACTTTTTGTCACGGCCCACCTTGCTCCTATCCAATCAGCCCTGAATTGAGGGTGATCTCGGCATAGCCTACTTCCAATAGCATAAATTCCACACAATTCCACACAAAAGTGTAATTCCAATCGTTATTGGGGCCCCAACATGTCTTAGAAGAAGCAGTCATCAACGTTGGTTCAGTTTAGTTATAGTTCATTATATAATGTTCATTATAGTCTTAGTTATTTAATTAATGTTAGTTTTCTATTTACTTTGGAGTGTTTGCAATTCAATGCCCACATTCTTTTGATGCGTGACAAGAGCAAAGCACTCCATGGAATTCCTTTTGGCAATTTTTCATCATCGGAACCTTGGCTAATATATGTTTGAAAAGCTTGGGCCTGGAGCTGGAGTTATGTTGTGCCGTGCCACAGCATTGGCAGGGTACGGATGGGCTTGGTAGGGTGCCCAATGATCAGCTGAGGTAGCAGATCTGCTTTCGGAACGCCATGGGTTGGGTGCTTGAGGTGCAAGGCCGCCCGCACCGCAAAATGTTTGATCTCAGAATTGGACTTTGTCACTTAGACGGCGTAACCCCAGGGAACGCATTTCCAAAAAAGGGAGCTGATGAACTCTCCATCAGTTGGACTGAACATGTGAAGCTCCGTTTAGAACATGCTGACCAAAGTGCGGTTCTATTTTTGGAGCGACTCAGATTCCACGACATGAACAGTAGGTTTCCCACTTCCGTTGTGTGCTCACAGTGTAGCCAACTACCAGACTACCAGGAACAGTCGGTAAAGGTCATCACTGTTTTTGAGAACGGTTGTTACAGCTGTATTGTTTCTTGGGATGCGCCCAAAGTGTATGCATAGTTTCTTGGAGACATTTTGACGTGACACACTGCAATACACAGTTCACTAAGGCCCAAGAACCACTACACCCACGGTCTCTTTGCAGTTACTACCTGGCACCTCTCAAGTGGGCCGCGCTCAAACGGCACAGATACGATCTACACATCAGCACCTTGAAATTTTTATTAGTGCCCATCTCATGCATCTCGTTTTCGGATGCATTTGGTCTGGTCGCTCTTTTGCCAACTAGTTTTGTTTTCAACCTGCCAACCTGCACGTGTTCAAAAGCACGTGTTCATCGCCAGTTCTAAGGTCTGTCTCTCGAGTTCATGCTGAAATTGTGGTAAAACCTGCAGCAGGTGCCACCTTTGGGGTTCCTTCCTGGGTGAACACACATCGGATCAAATGACACAAACCACCTTCTACGGCATGGTTTCTTCCATGTTTCTTCCATAATCACGAGATATTTTCGAGGGTTGGACTCTGTAGCCAGGTTCATTGTCAGAAGTGCTTCCCTTGGAGATTTCGATTTTGGATCGCTCCTCTACGGGTCACACCTTTGTCAATGAGCAGCAGCCTGGCAAGGGACATCCTCAAAGGCTTTGTGCTGGGGATGCGCCCTGGCAGGACCCGAAATGACTCGCAACTTCTTTCAGGATAGTACTATAGTCGCTATAGTACTATCTACTACGATGTACTAGGATTTATTCACATGCTTGAAGCAAAGAGGAGACACATATTGAAGGAAATACAAAGATTCAGGGATGTTGATTGGTTTGCTGGCTGGGTGAGGGGATTTGAGGAGATCAATATATATATATATATATGAATGATTTTCAAAACGCATAGCCATGGTGTGCACTGTGGTATCATTCAGAGGCTGTTCAATGCTTTCATTTTGCAAAGGTTCTTCATTTTGGAGTCGACCCGTTGAGATACAAGCTGTAGCTTGCCAGCATTTGTTCTTCCGGTTGGATTGGGAAAGCTGAGTCAAAGCAAGGAGCTGGAGACCAATGTTGATGAGCATCTCTAGCCGTTTGGCTGCCTCAGAGCTTCAAAGCCTCCAGGACAAGGCCCGTGGAATTGGTGTGCTGCATGGCTGCAGACAATCCCCCGGCGGCAGTTTCAGAGTGTTTTGTCTCAGTTGGCACATGACGTTCCCAGGTTCCTCACACCAGAGTGGAGCGCACAATGCACACATTTGTTGCTGGATCAATTTGCCATTACTCCGAAACTTCTGTGCTGCATCATTGATGGTGCGCTTCTTGGTGGGAGACATGAAGAGATTGGTTGGTTTGGTTGCAATCAGTTGCATATTCCGATTCCAATCAAAGCTGGTGTCAACAGAGGTCTTTTCTCTTGATCACCTGAAACAGCAGTCCAGGAAATTGCCCAAACCATCAAATGGGTCGAAAGGCAGTCCAAATAGCTAAATATATACATTATCTCATGTCAATTGATTGAAACTTGTGCGATGTGTTGTCATTTGTCATGTTATTGTGCCAATATAAACGCATGATAATCATCAGAATCAGGACCAGTTTAACTGCATCTCAGTGTGACCTGACCTCACAGCCTCGCAATCTTGTTTTTTCTATTGATCCTAGCTCACCTCAGCTATTTTACAGTAATACATATTAAATATGGGATCAGTATCGCTGCATCACTTCACTTTGTCTCACACTTCCTCCCCAAAGTATGGCCGTCCAAGTGTGACTTCTCGCTGCACCCAACCAAGGCTGCCGGTGTCAATGCTCTTCCTCTCAGAGATGAGCAGACGAGTCAATGAGAACTGCGAGCAGCCCGTCCAGACTATAGTGACTATAGTCATTGGTTATTCCCCACCTGCCAGGTGAGGGTTGTTAGATTTTATCTGAGCTCTCCTCCTCCGTCTCCTTCTCCTCCTCCTTCTCCTCTTTCTTCTTCTCCTCCTCCTCCTCCTCGCCATCTCCTCGCCAACTCTTGATTGCAGTGGGCACCACCGGACCTCAACCACTAGATAAGAATGTCAGATAGAGAGCCAGATGCAGTGCCAGACAGAATGCCAGATAGACTGTCAAATAGAATATGCCGGATAGAGTGCCAAATGCAATGCCAGATAGAATGTCAGATAGAACTTGCCAGATAGAATACCAGAAAGAATGCCAGAAATAATATCAGATAGAATGTCAGAGAGAATGTAATTACCACCATGTATGAAATGTCATGGTGGGGATCACTCGAAGTAAAGTAATTGTGCTCCCGTTTTTGTCAAACACATGCTTTGCATTTTTTTTGCATGCTTCGAGTTGCTCGACATTGCACTCGACATGCTTTCTTTGTATTTTCTTGCAGGCTCCTCCCTACACCGGCTGCAGCAGAATTTGCTCCGAAGGCTGCTGCAGGTTTGGTGACCGCATTCAAAGAAAGCACGTCTCAAAGCATTTTGCAATTTTGTTTGCCTGCAGCCTTGAATGCTGAGAGCTGTTGTTTGCCAGGTCCTGATGCTGAGTATGCTTCAGGGTTGGGAGCATATGTCAAGCAGCCTTTACCACGCCGCGAGCTGTTCAGAGGTCATGTGCTAAGTGGTTCATTGTGGTTCCACATTTGGAACTCAGGTGGTTTTGCAGGTCTTTGGACTAACTTGAGATTTCATGTGATGCTTTCCGTGCAAATATCTCAGGAATTTGGGTCATTTTCAGTGCCAAGCCCGTGTATGACACCTTGTCCACGGCTCTTTCTTGTGCTGGCTCACCTATACAGATCCTGACCCAGGATCAATCTGTCTCTTCAGTCCTGCAAGATCTTCGAAAAGCTTCATCCAAGGGTCCACCAACGGAGGTGCGATACAGTTGTACAAGCGCATTGCGTATTGTTGGTGCAGTTGCACAAGTTCCCCGCTTCCACGCCTCTACCTGTGGCATTCAGTGAAAAGCATTGTTGAGAGGCAACTTCATTGCTTTCAGCATCGACTGAACCGATAGGCATTTTCGGGAACAAGTAGCTCCTAATTACCGACATGGCTTGATTTGGAATCTCAAGTGTCTCACCTCAAGCTGAGCAGGTTTGGATCATTCCAACACTGCCCGCGGGCCTTGGTGCACTGGCGAAGCCGTTGCAAGATCTCAGATGCCCATGCCGTATGGTCAGCCAGAAGGCTTCGTTTTGGAGTAGCAGAGATGACGCGCGCCATGAAAGGGGCCGGAGGGCTCGAGGTATGGCATGGCATGGAGGTAGGGCTGATGTTCGCATTTCTCTCGCGCAAGGCTTTGGTGGGTGCAATCATTGCGGGGACCATCAAGGATATCCGTGAGACGGCAGTGCTCCCAAAGTCTGAGCTGCAGGCAGAGAGTTTTCCAGACACACAGCCTACAAGTGCACCATGTCAGCCGCAAGCGCGGGGCAAGCGTCAGCTAGCTATGGCTGCTTGGACCCAGTTTTTATGCATAAGGAGTGTGGCATTTTTCATTTAGCCTCCATGCTGGATGGAAACTAGATTCTGCGTCCAGCCTGGCTGGCCTAGCGGAACTGAGGATAGCAAGCCAGCAGTGCAGGTGAAGGAGGACGCTGAGCGACGGATTCCAGCTTACAGCTTTTTGAGCTTTGCTCAGTTGAATTCATCAAACCACTTGCAGGAAAGTTTTCCCAATACCTTCCAAGATATCGCGCCAGGTAACTTAGCTACCAACTATGGCTTTCATTGTCAGCAGAATTGTAGCCGTGGCTCTAGGCAAAGTGACACATGTGCCGTTTGCAAGGTCAGGGGTTGGACATTCCTGGCAGTTGGAGGTCATTCAGATGCTGCAATGATGAGCCCAGGCCAGCCAGAAGCTAAACAAGAGGTGGCTGAAAAGAAGGCGAAGACCGAGCACGAGGACCTGACTCTGAGAAGGGAACACCGTGCACCTAGAGGCAATAGTTGAACACAGTTGGTAAAACTCTACAGATTCCACATATACCCCTTAGCATTGCAGCTACTAATACTACAGGTTACTACCGGGCCTATCCTGCTCTGGCCGAGTGCACATGCTTTGGCGGTCAGTCAAGTGATGCCAGCAAAGCTGCCACACAAACTACAAGAGCTAGGAGTCATATGACAAGCACCACTTGCCCAATGCTATCGAATCTGAAAACAATGTGCTGTAAGACTCATCGGAGGAGCAGGAGCAAGCAGAAGAACGGGAACGACACGAGACACAAAAGCGCCAACAAGAGCCTCAGAAGAAAGACGCACATGCGATGCCACCACCTTCCTTACAAGGTGCAGCTTGGAAAAACCTTGCACAAGTTTGGTGTCAGTAGTGACAATATGTGACAATTAGACATCCACCTTCACAGGATCCGCTACACGCCCTGGAGCACGGCCTGCGTCGCAGAATCCCACCGTCGCGGCTTCTCAAACTGCGCAGCCGGCAAGCCAACGACGGGAGACTGAACGACCAGAGGCCAGTGATGCATTTTTGTTGAATGTTGTTGATGCTTTCCTCTTATGCACAACATTTGGAAACACGAGTCCGGTGATGTCTGGTGAATGGTCAACATTTGACATAGATAGTATGATATAACAGGCTTTGCAAGTTGACCGCTCAGGCTGCAAGCCTCCAAACCATTCAAGCGGTGCTCGTGCAGCCAAAGCAGGAGGACAGGGAGGCGCAGTCGACTTCGGAACTCGACCGGAAACTGGAGCCAAAACAGTGGGTAGGAGCAACAAAGAAGCTACTAGGAGCAAAGGGCATCGCTACTAGGAGCAAGGGCCTTACTACTAGTAACAAGAAGAAAGTAATTAGAATTAAGTTTAATTAGAAACTGGCCTCGGCGGCCCTCGGCCTCAAACGTTTCGGCGAAGCGTTCAGATGAGTCCAGGCCAAGGTGGACATCAGCACCGTCCACTCGTCGGCGGCTTCCCTTCCTCGAGCACCCGAAGTGAAGGTGGAGGAGCCTCCTGGGAGGAAGGAAATGAAGAGGTGCCGAATGATTTTCTCTTCATCGTTCACTGATCGGTTTACATGGAGTAGTGGTAAGATGTAATAGACGAATAAAATCCAAGGCGAGCTGGCATATTACCATAGTATAGAAGCGGTAGCAAATGAGAAAGGATTCGAGCCACTGTTGCTGCCCAGGAGCCGCAGGTCTTGCGTGAAGATCCTCAAATACACCCTACTAATACCTGGTTGCCACAGTTGGCACAGAAGGGTGGCCGTGGCCTTGTCGTTGATGGACACTTGGAAGCAGGCATGTCCATCCACTCGAGCACAAATCTTTGTGAAAAGCTGTTGTACAAGGTGTGAATCTTAAAGAGCCCACAGGAAAGTCATCAGGGTTTTTGAAACTGCTCACCTGGTAAACAATGTTTGCACAGCATGGCACAAGACAAGGTGTCGAGCTGCCTCGAGCAACATGGTTCACCACCACCAAGCGCCGGGCGGAGACACCCCAGCAAGCAGCTGGAAAGCCGAATTTCAAGCGCTTCCGGAAAGTGCAAAGCATCGGCCTTAGTCAAGCCATCAAGCCTGAGTCTCTCGCCAACCTCAGGTTTGACGAGTTGCAACATGTTGCAAGTTCACTCAATTCACCAATGGGTTGCATACAAGAACGCTACTAGGGGGCTCCTGGCCTTACTACTAGGAACAAGAACGCTACTAGGGGCTC